AAAAAAAAATAAAAAAAAAAAAAAAGAAATTGAACTCATGACCTTGTGCTTGCCAGGCAGGCACTTGTGCTGCTGAGCTACATCCCAGCCCACTAGAGTCTCACTAGGTAGTCCAGGCTGGCCCCCAATTCTTGGTGATCTTCTTATCTCAGCCCTGATGGGCTAGGACTGTAGGTGAGCACCAAAACACTCGATTTAGGATGACAGTTCTTGAAAGGTGATCTAGTGATTATTAGTGATTCCCAAGACCTTTTCAGGGATTCTGTGATTATTTTCATAGTATTGCTAAGATTTTATTTTTTATTTTGGCCATACTTCAGACTGAACCCAGGGCCTTCACATTGATCTACTTACCCAGCCATTTTTATTTATTTTGAGAATGTCTCCCTGAATCGCCAAGTTGCCCAGGCTGGGCTTAAACTCACCATCCTTTGACTTCAGCCTCCTGAGTAGCTGGGACTGCACATGCATGCTGTACCTGGCTGTGCACAAACTTGTGTGGATATGTCTGGATTGTATGTTAAGAGTATGTTTAGTTCTATAAGAGACTTCTAGACCATCTTCCACAGTGACTACTATATTTCCACCAGGGGTTCTATATAATGCAGGCGGACCTTGAACTCACTGTATAACTCAGACTGGCCTCAAACTTGAGGAGATCCTCTTGCCTCAGCCTTCAAAGTGCTGAGGTGAGCTGCTGCTACCTGCAAGAAAAATAAGACATTTTTTTTTTTTTTTTTTTTGAACAGGGTCTCACTTTATAGTTCTCACTTTATAGTTCAGGCCCTGAACACTCCATGTGGTTCAGAATAGATTCAAACTCATGGCAATTATAGGCATGAGCACCATGCCTAGCTAGACACTTTTTAAAGAACTTGAAGGTTGCATATGAGTGTTTAGTAAATGTCTTTTAAGTGGTAAATGAATAAATGCTCTCAGTAAGGTAAAGAGCAGAGCTGACCAAAGGATGTCCCAGGGCTTAGGCTGGGTAAGGAGTGAGTGTAATCCATGTTGTTCCCAAATAGGATCAAGCAGAACCTTCTGAGCTGGAGATTGACCTGGAGGCTCTAATGGAACTATCCACAGAGGAGCAGAGGACTCAGTTGGAGGTAGGGTGGGAGATAGGTCATGGGGCCTGCTTTAGGCTCAGGGCAACCCAGGAACCCAGGCTTTTGCCTCCTTGGGTGGGGTGTGGGTGGCTGAGTAGGGGCTTGTGGGAAGGTACTGTGTCTTGGGCATCCACTCTGATCTCTTTTACTCAGGGCATTCTCCAAAACTGCTCCCGCCCAACTGAGGTAAGGGATGTTCAGCTGGTCTGGGGTAAGAGCAGGTGGGGTGGAGGGATGCTAACATAGATGACAAAAAGTATTGGAAAGGAAAGCTTGGTCCTGTTTCCTTCTCCCATTTCCTGGCTCTAGGGAGGTAGGGCTGGAACTAGATTAGGAAGGGCAGGGGGATGGGTGGGTGACGGGTGGGTGGTGGGTGGGACCCCTGGCCTTAATCTCACTCCCCTTTTTCCCTCAGCCTTTTATCTCTGAGCTGCTCAGTCAACTGAAAAAACTTCGGAGACTCAGCCGGCCTCAGAAATAAGCCTCAAGGTTATCATCCTCTGCAGCTTCTGCACTGCTGGGTCTGGCAGGACCTCTTAGATCCTGGCTGAGCAGAAAGCAGCTCTGTGGGACCTAAGGACCAAGGAAGATGAAGGACACTTGTACGCCTCGAGTGTATGTGTAGTCATGGCTGCGTGCTCTGGAGCCAGTCCTAGCTGCTGCCCTGTGCTTTCCTTGGCAGCCATGTGGATAAAATCTTAAGGAGACAAGGCTGAGTCGAGTGTGGACTATGTTTGTGATGAGGGGAGGGAGGGTAAGGGAAACCCTGAAGACCAACAACCTAAGTCACTGGACTATACCCACGCCTTCCCCAACCATCCATGCAAACAAGTCTTGAGAATTCAAAGGTGACAGTCACAGTTCTGTTTTGAAGAGATCACAAATTAGTAAGGCCCAGAGTAAGACACATCATTCTGGCATCGCCAGCTATAGGGGGTCAAATGGCCAAGACCAGTGAATCCCAGGGAGGAGGTAACTGGAAACACCTCGCTGGATTGGGGGCCCTCTGAGGCTGACTCTTTCTTCCCTCACAGTTGATGCAGGAGGCCTCAGTCTGAGGTCTGTTCAGTTGGCTCCAGTCATGAGCAGGAAAAGAACAGGTGAGGCCTTGTTGGGTCATAAGAAGTTATCAAGAGACAGATACTCCGTCGGAGTGGCAGGCAAATTGGGACAGGAACCTGGGAAAGTGGGGCCCCTGTAAGGTAGAAAGTGGCCATGTCTGCAAAATTGTTACTACATGCACTGTCTGGGTGCTAGAAACCCAACATGAGAGTCTGGCGGCATACTGGGCTGCCCAGAGCAGGAAGACAGTTCACTTGAATGAATATTCATGCTTAGTTCTTGAGGCCAGCAGGATGGGTGGGGCTGTTCCTGCTGGGAAAGTGTGCAGGATCACTGGTGCCTTTCCCACAAGGCCGAGGCTCAGGACCTAAAGGATTCTAGAGATAAGAGGTACTGGGGGGCCTGGAGGCAGTTCAGAGGGAAATGTGCTTAGATGAGTGAAGACTGGATTCAATCCCCAGAAGCATCACCAACAAAGACATGCCAGGCCCAAGGATTCGGCATACTTTATTAAACTCACTGCATACCAGGGAGAGCTCTGGGCCCCAAAGTCTGGCTACAGGGCCCACCTTCAGATTCAGTTTGGTTTTTCCCATCATGCCTCTTACTTTAGGTTTTCTGGAGAAGGGCCCCTACTTGTTCTTCTTTCTGGCCACTCCAGTCATCATCTTGAATGAAACTCCTTCCAGGGACATCAAAGCTCAGACATGGCACATCCATCATCAGTGTGGCCTAAGCTGCTGTCCCACTGGATGGCCTAGGGCTGGAGGTGCCAGCCCACAGGCTGCCCATGGGACTGGTTCTCAGGAGGATCAGCGTGTTCTCAGTGCTCTTGCCCAGCACGTGGGGGGTGATAGGCAGATGTCTGGTGCTCTTTAAGCTCAAAGGCATCATGGCCCTCCCTGTGGAGCAAAGGACTGAAGGTCAGGGACCTCAGGTGGCCCAAGTCCTCCCACAGAACATTCTACCTTCTCTCACCGGAAGCACCGGGCACAGTAGAGGTCTCCATCACAGCCAGCGCAGCGCAGGGTGGCATCCTCATTACAGATGCAGCACCAGGGGAGCTCTTCTTCCTCAGTCTCAGGCCTAGGAGCCATGGGCTGGACCTTCAGAGACTGGAAGGAATGCAGGAAGTGAGGTACCTGATGGGAACAGTCAGCCAGGTGGGAGGAGGGCTGTGGGCAGCCTGGGGCTTTTCTTACCTCAGGCTCTGCCTTCCAGGGTCGGGCCTGGTGTTGAGAAGCTAACTTCACAGGAAAGTTAAAGCCACTTGCCTCATCCAAGGCAGTTTCTTCAGTGAGCTGTGGATAGGGTGGAAAGATACCCTGCTCTAGGCCTAGATGTCTCTCTCTCAGTAGTTCTGCACTCTTCAGTTTCAGCTTCTCCACTCTACTTCTGTTACCTCTTGCCTGAGGCTGCTGATTCCCATCTCAAGAGACTAGGGAGAAGGACCTTATCACATGGACAGAAAGTTCCAACTAGATACAAGGTCACATAGCCCCAGAGTAGGGGCCAGGTGAACAGGGCCAGGCAGATGTATGGCACAGGACAGAGACAGGACCCAGATAGGTGGGCAGGAAAGCCAGGCCCACCTGTTGCATGACTCTCTGGATGGCTGTCTCCTCATCCTCATCCTCATTACTGTCTGGGAGGCAGCAGTCCTGGAGGATCACTTGAACAAAGGAGAGGTAGGAAGAGGGGAAGAAGTGAAGAAGTGAGGGTGAGAGATTTCACTTGAGTGGTGGTCCTCTTGCCTTCTATAGCTGGTTAGTTTCCCAGGCACTTTTCCCAGAGCTGAGAAGCCTCGTTAACTGCCCTGATCAGAACTTATCTCTCCCTGTCCCACCCTGCAAGGCTGGGCCATCACTGAAGCAGCTCTGAGGATTGGGAACAGGAAAAGAGGCCTCAGCACCTAAACAGATGGAAGATGCTCCTGCCGTCTGAGGGCTGCCGCTGATTCCTCATCCATTGCTTTGCCCTAGCACAGTGATGGTGAACCTTTGAGAGCTTTCAGTGGTACAAAGTGCCCACTGGGGCACACATGCCATCGGTTCGCCACCACTGCCCTAGTCCATTCCTCATGGCTGTGGGCTCAGAAACTCCTGGTCCCTGACTCAACATTAGCAGGGACAGCTTGGCCTAGGAGAGAGGAAGGCCTTGACCAATGGACGGCCATGAGTGAGCAGCTGACCCTAATTTTTACCTCTGTTGGGGTCCTGTCCCTGCAACACAGCCAGTCGCTTGGCAAGGGCCAGGGTCTGCTCCTGCCTGGTGTTCTCTTCCTGGAGCTCAAGTGCTGCTGCAGCCAGAAGCCTGTTTTTCTCTTCCAGGGAGCAGCTGGCCTGCCCCTGGGAATTAATGTGCTGGTTCCCTACACCACCCTGGTTGAGGTCATTCTGGAGAGAGGCGGCAGCTGGAAAAAGTAATGGAGTTAGGGAGGCAGAAGCATTCTAAGGTCGCTCCCCATGAGACACAGACCACTTTTCATACATTACCAGTGTTCTGCTAGTACTAGCATCTATGGCTTACATTACAAATAAAAAATTAGTATTTCCTCCATTTTTCCAAATGATATCTTTTTCATCCATCCCCACCTGATACAGGGTAGGTGTCCCATAGTTTGAGACTCACCTCCCTAAAAGATCAGGATAGGTGGAAGCCAAAGTGCAGCCAGTCTCCCTGCCTTTCAGAGTTGGAATTAGCATTTCTCAGGAGCAGCACAGAGGGCCTGAGTGAAGCTGAGGTCATACACATCACTGGGCAGGAAGAATTTAGAGTGGGTGTGGCTCTGCCATGGTCACATTCAGCCTAAATGCCAGAGTAAGAGATGTGAAATGAGACAGCTGTGGATTCAACTTCCCAGCTTCCATCTCTGCTGTTTGAGTTGTGCCACCTTGGTCAAGTTCCTTAAGCTTGGGCCAGAGATATAGTTCATCAGCATAAGTGCCTGCCTGGCAAGCACAAGGTCCTGAGTTTGATTGCTGGTACCAAAAAAAAAAAAAAAAAAAAAGTTTCTTAAGCTCAGCAGGCTTCAGTTTCTTCATTTGTAAAGCAGGATGAAAATATATGACTCAAGATTGATTCTTAATGAGATAGTGTCAGGCAGGGTTTCTCGATTTTAGTTCTACTGACACACTGGAGTGGCATAATTCTTTGCTGGAGGGAGCTGACCTAGGATGTTAACAGCACACCTGCCAGATGACAACTCTATCCTGAGCTGTGACAAGCACAAAGCCTTCAGACATTTACAGAAGTGCCCAGGGGGAATACTTATCCCTGATAACAAGTGCTCTAAAGTCTTCAAGTAGCACTGTCCAATAGAATTTTCTATGATGCAAACATTCCCCATAACATCCTTTATGTGTGTTGTCTAGGATGGCAACCATGAGTTCATATGGGTCTGAACATGTGGCTAGCAGCATTAAGCAACTAAATTTTTGTTGCTGGTATCAGGGATCACTCGGGACCTTGCTCTTGCCAGGAAGGCATTTATTCCACTAAGCTATATCCTTAGCTCTAAACTTTATTTTATTTTTCATTGCGGCAATGGGGATTGAGTTTGGGACCGTGTGCCTAAACTTTAAATTGAATTTTCTCTCTCTTTCTTTTTGGAGACAGGGCCTCTCTCTAACTCGGGCTAATCTTGAACTCACTATATAGCCCAAGCTGGCCTCCAACTTGAGGCAATTCTCCTGCCTTAGCCTCTGCAGTGCAGGAATTACAGGTGTGTGCCACCACACCTAGCTGAATTTAATTTTCAACAGCCTCTTTTTTTTTTTTTAGCAGTGCAAACTTTATCTGAGAAAGTAAAAGAGTGGGAAAGAAACTGACAACAAACTTGAGCTGCGTAAAGAGAAAAAGAGGATAAAGCAAAGATAAATAGGTTTGTTCTAATATTGTTTGGAAAATTAAGTGTTGATACCTTTTACTCTAAGTAATTTAAAGATAACACTATGCAACGTATTAACCATTATTACCCTCCTATCATATGGTTTTGGAATTTTGTTTTTTGTTTCTTTTTCTTTAAAATAAGAAAGTAAATAAATTAAAAAAAAAAAGTATATGCTGGCTGGCCGTGATGGCACACACCCGTAATTCGCAGGAGGATCACTGTGAATTTACAGCCAGCTTAGGCTACAAAGTGAGTTCAAGACCAGCTTAAAATGCATAGTAAGACACTGTCACAAAAAGACAAAAAATAAAAAAAAGTATACACTGCACTGGGTATGATGGCATATGCCTGCAATTCTGTACTAGGGAGGCTGAGGCAGGAGGATACTGCGAGTCTGAGGTCAACTTAGGCTGCATAATGAGACCCTGCCTCTAAATAAAGAAAGAAAAATGTACATAAAAGTACAAGCTGGGGGGACTGTGGCACCTGTGCCGCGGCGATACCTGCTTTCTCCTACAATCTACCCCGATCTCGGGAATGGAGAAGGTTTTGGAGGAGCCTGGTCATTTTCCCCGTTCCCTGAGGGGTGTCCAGCGGTGCTGCCTGGGGAGGACACACCCCCTTACTCCCCTCTGACCAGCCCGGACAGTGGCAATGCACCCACAATCTCCTGCCGAGTCTGCCAGTCTCTCACCAACGTGGAAGGCAAGATACATCAGCATGTAGTCAAATGTGGTGTCTGCAATGAAGCCACTCCAATCAAGAATGCACCCCCAGGGAAAAAATATGTTCGACGTCCCTGTAACTGTCTCCTTATCTGCAAAGTGACATCCTAGCGGATTGCCTGCCCTAGGCCCTATTGCAAAGAATCATCAACCTGGGCCCTGTCCATCCAGGACCTCTGAGTCCAGAACCACAGCCGATGGGTGTTAGGGTCATCTGTGGACATTGCAAGAATACTTTTCTGTGGACTGAGTTCACTGACCGAACCTTGGCACGGTGCCCACACAGCAGGAAAGTGTCATCTATTGGGCGCAGATATCCAAGAAAGAGATGTATCTGCTGCTTCTTGCTTGGCTTGCTTTTGGCAGTCACAGCCACTGGGCTCGCTTTGGGGACATGGAAACATGCACAACGATATGGAGGTGATATGCAGCCTGGGCATTTGTCATCCTGTTGGCTGTGCTGTGTTTGGGCCGGGTTCTTGACTGGGCCTATATGAAGGTCAGCCACCCTGTCCAGAACTTCTCCTGAGTCCCCTGATGAGCCACAGACTGTGCCTGGCCCCTCCCTGGTGGGGACAGTGACACTACAAAGGGAGTTGGAGTAAAAGGCTCCCTGGGCTTCTATGTGGAAGCCAGGCAGCTGCCTTCCTTTTCCCAGGGGAGAGTTAGGAAGTAACCAGGCCCCCACTTAGGTTTGGAGGGGTAGAGAAAAACCACTGCTGGCCTTCTGCTTTCCTCCAAGGGTTGCTGTGTTTAGGGTGAATTGGGCAAGGTGTTGCCCCTAAACCTGGGTCCTACTGATGGTTCTAGCCTTGTCCTTCCTATATGCTCCCTGAGACCCATTCCTGTCCCTTATACATTCCAGGGCAGGGTGGGGGTGGGTTGCCCTGGGGCTTCCCCTCCCTCTCATGCACCACTTAGGACCTTGCTGCTGCTATTGCACTTCACCAGGGGCTGGCTCTGACCTCAGTACCCTCTCCTCTCTCCACATTCCGTGTCCTGTTGGGGTGGAGCCAGTCGCTGCTCTGTACAGCACCACGGGAACTGATGTGTATATAATTATTTAATGCGGGGTATATTTCCCCAGTCTATGTTTCCTTCAATTCTTCCTTCCAACCTTCCGTACCCCACCCCACCCCCAGTTGCAGTACTTAACTGAGCTGGGTAGGGCTGCTGTCTCCAGAGGTTAGGGATTTATCCAGTGCTTGTAAATAAACAAGGTCGTGACTAACAACAACAACAAAAAAAAAAGTAAAAGCTACATCTGAGAAACACAGGGCAGGCTATTGTGGAAAGTTATGATAGCTTTTTTTTTTTTTTTTTTTTTTTGAGACAGGCTCTCACTCTGCAGTTCAAGCTGGCCTTGAACTTACTCTGTAGCCCAGGCTGCTCTCAAACTCACAGCAACTCTCTTGCCTCAGCCTCTCAGTGCTGAGATTACAGACATGTGCCACTATGGCCAGCATTATGATAGCCTCTTTCTTTTTATCATCATCACCATCATTGCAGAGAACGCTAAGAACTTACTATAAGTGCTTACTGGATTAACTCAATTCCTCCTCCACTTACCCATGAGGTTTTAACATATACATCATCCACTTTACACATGGGGAAAGTGAGAGGTAAGTAACTTTCATGGTCACATAGCTAGTAAGTGTACAACTGGGATACATGGTCTGATTCTAAAATCCATACGTTTAACCACTAGGCCCATACTGGCTTCCTTTGGAGTATTCAATAAATGGTTGCCCTTATTGCTCGCTCTCTGATTTATATTCACCTTTTCAAAGGGTAGACAGCAGAGTCTCTTCCATCTGGAAAAAGAGGAAGAGCAAGCCCATGGAGGAGCCCACTAAAGGGGTTACCTGAGTTTCCTCGTCCCCAGCGTTCATCAATAGCCACCTCAGCTGCCAGCTGTGTTAGCAGATCCTGAGTCTGCTGAGCCTGGGTCCTGCTGTCTGGTGTCTGATGTGCCTGGCCAGAGGAGGAAACCTCAGTGGGGAATGAGGAAAGAGGGAAAGCTGTACTATAAGGCTAGAAGCAGTCTGGGTCAGAAATGGATGCTCAGCAGCTCTCAAAGTTCAGGGGAGGGAGATAAATTCAAGGCCCACAATCAAGTGAGTCTGGTAGACCCCAATAGGACTGAATCACATCCACTCTTTTCTGACCCAGTCAATCCTGCTACTTGTCACTTGTTCCTTGGCCTGGCAACAGTCCTGAGGCTCAGGAGGTAGTTGGGAGGGCTTACCTACTCCTGAAAAGTACATGACCAAGCATGTATCTGGGGCTCTTCAAGGTTCTTGCCCTAGGAATCGCTTCCCTCCCAAACCATACCACTCACCGGACGAGAGGTCTGAGAAGGCAGAACCCTGCCCTGCAGTGCTGCAAGCCGAGTCTCCATCTCCTGGGTGGAAGGGATGGGACCCCGGAGTTCATCCTTCAGTGAAGCCAGCCGTGCCTCTATCTCTGCCTGTGAGGGTACTGACTCTGCAGTTGGCATGGGGATATCAGTGTAAGGCTCACAGCAACCCCGATCCCATAAGCCCCAGACTCTATCTTTCTGGCCATCTTGCTTGCCCCCACTCACTGGGTTTGTTTTCCTGGCGGAGCCGTGCTAGGCGCTCAGCGATGACTTGGTCTTGCTGGCTTAGCCCCTGGCTCTGAGGACTGGGCTTCTGCTTGGCTTCCAAAGCTGCTACACGCCTGGCAGGATATAAGACACAGGCTCTTGAGGGCAAAAGGGAGACTGAAGGCATCTACTCAGTTTCCCACCAAATCATTTCTGGGCATTGTGGGAGGCCACCAGTGGGCAATCTTGCATGGAACCCGCACTCTGTTTCTCTGCAACCCAACCCAGCTGACCAACCCCAGGTCTGGGTGAAAGGTCAAGACCTACCAAATGCCTTTTCTATGGACAGGGCTGATGAGTTGTTTTCTGCGCCCAAATGGGCAGTCAACAACCTGAGAGGTGGGTATTCTCCTGCCTCTGCACTCATTTGATCTAGAGACTAGAAGAGTCTAGTTCTATTCATGGAACTAGAAGAGTTCTTCTAGATACTAGAAGAGTTCTACTTGTTCTTTTCCATGCCCATTTTTCTTTTTTATCCTCAGTACTTACTTCTTATAGTTCTGAGGTGGTGACCACTTGGAGGCATTGGCAGAAGATCCTCTACAGAGAAGTAATCTGGTGTTAGAAATCCTGCCATCCCACCACTCAGCACCTCCCCGCCAAAACAAAACAAAAACACTACCTGGGGGCTGTGAGACGGCTCAGTGGTCTAAAGCACCTACTTGGAACAAGCTTGGCAAAGCACAGGGACCGCGGTTCGATCCCCTAGCACCACATGCCAGCCAGCCCCGCCCCCTGGTGGGCTGAGCTGGCCACACACACACACACACACACACACACAGAATAAATAAATAAATAAATAAATAAATGGTAAAAAAAAAAAAAACACAAACACAACACTACCTGGGCTGACCTCTGATGACTGGCCAGAGACCTACTGCCATGCTTAACTGACCTCTCATGCACATGCATGTTGGCCTCTCACCTGGTCAAGATCTCGTGGCACTGCTTGCAGACTTTCTGTTGAGTGTTGCCAGTTCGGGGCACCACTGCACTGAAGCCAAGGCAGCCAGAACAGAAGGCCCTGCCACAATTCTTACAGCCATACTACAAAAAAACACGAAGCAGGAGGATCTACTTCTCACCCTCCCCAGTAGGCTCCTCCCTGGGACTCTCCAAGCACACAGAGAGAAGACATGAAGTTGTGATTATTTCTCGGGAGGAGGAAAAGTGGGGCCCCAAGATCCAGGAAGAGACTGGGTAGTGGGCAATGCAATTCCTGGGATTACAGTCTCATACAAATCACATAAAGCTTTCTGCAGAATTGCCATGCTTCCTATCATCTTCAATTCCCTGCCACAGGCAAAGCCCTGTGCTTTAGACTATGGGTTCTTCAACAAGAGAGAAGCTTGTAAGTACAGAGCCCACGCTTTTCTACTCTGTTAAAACTTGGCTCAGAATAAGCTGAGAACAATAGCTACTATTAAGCACTTACTGTGTGCCAGGCACTAAATTTAGTACTTAACATTCATCATCTGACTTAGCCTTCAATCTATATACATTATCTTATTTAATGCTGATGACCACTATTACTTTCCCTATTGTATTTATTTCTTTTTATTAATTTTTTGGGAGGTAGGGTATTGCTATGTAGTTCAGGGTAGTCTAGACTCACTATGTAGCTCAGGCTGGCCTCAAACTGAGAAAATCCTGCCTCAGCCTCTCGAGGGCTTGGATTACAGGTGTGCACCACCACACCGGGCTATTTTTCCTATGGGGGGGGGCGCTAAGAAGTACATGACTTGTTCAAACTAAAGTCACCCTATAAGACAGCAGAGGTCAAATTTGAACTTACTCTAAAATACAGTCATCTAAGTGCCACCTGGTCCTGTCTGCCTACGTGGAATTCATTCACCCCATCTGGTTTCATCATCTTCTAGTCAGATGCTCTGGCCACAGCTGAAGTACAGAAAACCTGCTGTTTGCCAAGGGAATCTGGCAGACTGGTGCCCCGGGGGGAGGAGGAAGGGTGGTTATTGAAGAGAGACCTGGGCAAAGGCTGGTTACGGAGATGGGAGGGGAGCAAAGGGAACACTTTGATAGACACAGTCACGGGGTACCAAAGACCACGCTGGATACAAAGGAGAAACAGGCAGATGCCACACTTGGGAAGCAGAAAAAGCATAGCTTTCTGAAAATGACAGCAACATATTTTATAGTATATTGGGTACTTTCACTCCCAGCACCTTTCTGGACCCTCACATCGGACCAAGAGAGGCTCAATGACTTCATCAAAGGGTTAAAAAGACAATAAAAGCGGGTCTCTGCAACATAAGTCCCACGCTTTTCATGTCACTCCTCGTCCTCCCTGGCCCTCCAGCCCTAGGGAAGACTCGCCTCCTTCTTGAAGAGGGTGAACTTGACAGCGCAGCCGTAGCACCTACTCTCCATCCTGTCTTCCAGAGTAGCACGCCTTGCAAGGCTGAAGTACGGCAGGCCAGACCCCAGCCCCTGACCACCTGGCCACCACGTCCCACACGCCCACTCCAGCGATCAGCAGGCGGCCTGGGGCTGGGGAAATCCTAGAGACCGGAAGCAGCGGGAGCGGGGGCTGCTGGGAGTCGTAGTTCACTTGCAGTTGCATGCTCTCTCAAGTCAGAACCGGAACTCGATGATCTCGGTGATTCCCAGAGGGCTAAGCGACACGCGGCCGACCAGAGCCAGAAGCCCCACCTCTGCCTGGGCTCATGGGAGTTGTAGTACGAATCCAGTCAGGGCTGGAGTCATGGCGGTGACCAAGGAGCTGTTACAGATGGACCTGTACGCGCTGCTAGGCATTGAGGAGCAGGCGGCTGACAAAGAGGTAAGAACGGTGGAGCGAAAGGCATATCCTGAACGGCTTGCTGTCCTTTCCTGTCCAGGCGCCTTGACTGCTGCTGGCGCTAATTCTCCAGGTTTGGTTGGGTCCTGGGCGGGGAGCGTGGGGTTGCTCGATGGCCTTAGAAGGCGGGCGCTGAGACCTTTCCTGGACGGTATGAGGGACTCACGGGGAAAGGGGCACCCAGGGCTCTTCGCACCAGGTGCCTGTACTCTCTGTGGCCGCTGCTTTGGAGAGGCGATGGTGAGCCTGAGAGGGAAACCTGACCTCTTCTCTGCGCCTGCGCAGCCTCAGCCCTCTTGCCTACTTCTGCATCCACTGTGACTAGAGGCCTGTCTGTCGGTCTGTCTTGTCTGTCTCTTTCTTTCGTTCCTCTTTTCCTTTCCCTCCTCCTTCCTTCCTTCTTTTCCTTCCTTCCTTTCTGTTATGGGTCACTCAGCATAGGAACGAGATCAGCCAGATAGGAATTTGAATATAGAGCCTTTATTACTGAGCTCAGGGTCGTCAGTCCACTCTCTCGCAGGAAATGACTGAGCGACAAGCGAATGTAGGTAGCAGGTGAGTATTTATAACAGAAATCACGTCCAGTTTGGTAAGCAAATTTGTTATCCAGCACAGAACAACAGAAAACTACATTTATTTGAAACAGCTGCAAACTGTAACTGAGGGGTCTTTTACAGTTTAGTGATAAAGGCATATTTTTATAAGATACATCTTAAGTTATGTTTACAGAGACGGTTAGGGAGGGAGTTTGCTTTAGCTTGTTGCCTTGACAAGACATTTATTGTTAAACAGCCTTGAGCAGGAAGAACTCATTTTTTAGAGTAAATAACAGGAAGCATTAGGTTTTTTTCTAATAATTTCGCTCAGTTAAAGGACAAAATTCAGTTAACCCATTATACTTTTTTCTTTCTTTCTTTCTTTCTTTCTTTCTTTCTTTCTTTCTTTCTTTCTTCCTAGGGTCTACAGGGTCTCACTATACAGATCAGACTCATAGTGATCCTCCTGTTTTTTGCCTCCCAAGCGCTAGGATTACAGGTGCACACCACCAGGCCCAGTCTCTCAGTGCGGGGCAGGGTTGGCACAGCACACCTGGGAAGCTCTTATTCCATTGTTCCATCTCCCTGCACACCCCCCCCCACCATTTTCAAGTGGCTTATGTTCAGGTGTTGTCCTTCTCAGAAAGTGCTAGTCAACCAAAAATAGTATTAGAATTGTAAGGCAAATGTGGATCAAGGGCCTTGGGGTTGACACTGATCAAGCTGTTCATGAGGTTTCTGTTTCTCACTGGTTCATGGCCATAGTTGTAACAATATAGGCAGCAGAAGCTGATAATTTATTGGATGAAAATGAATGCCCATACTGATGGGCATACCCCTGTACTTCTCAACTGTGCTGCTGAAGCGCTGAGTGAACTTTCAGGAGGAGGCAGTAGGAGCCAGGTGTGGTGGTGCACACCTGTAATTTCAGCACTTTGGGAGGCAGACAGGAGGACTGCAAATTTGAGCCCAGTTTGGGAAATTCAGGGACCTACTGAGACCCTGTCTCAAAATGAAAAATTGGCTAGAGAACCTAGCTCAGTGTTAAGCCCTGCATTTAAACCCCAGTACTGGAAAAAAAAAAAAAAAGAAGAAGGAGAAGGAGAAGGAGAAGGAGAAGAAGGAGAAGAAGGAGAAGAAGGAGAAGAACAACAACCAAAAGCATCTACTATGCCTGTCTCAGATCTTTAATATTTCAATAATGCCAAACTTCTATATAATATTTACTAGGTGCTGGGCACTAAGAGTATGTAGTCTATTTTGTCTGAAATATAACAGAAAAAATAAAAAGATAAGTCTTAAAAAGTAGGTGGCTTCTTGAGAAAGATGTCATCTGTTACTGATTATTCTTTCTCAGCAGCCACTTCTTTTCAGCACTTCCGTTTTCACTTTGGGTGGATGCATTGGCTGACTTTATGGTGAGGGATACTTTTGCGTAGAAAGTAAGGGAAATCTAGGGCCTGGTAGGTGCTAGTGTCCCTTTCCTTGGTTTATTAACTGTCATGTTCTTTAGGGGAACCTAGAGACCTAAGAAATATTTAAAGTGTATATGAGGAAGACCACCTAAACTTTGGTTGTCTGGCCATGTAACATAGTAGTTCTTTTTTTCATTTCTTCCCTCAGGTTCCACATATAAGTGAGATCCTGCTATACTTTCCTCTATGTCTAGCTTATTCACTTAACAGGATATCCTTAGGGCTTATCCAAGTTGTCTCAGGTATCATGATCTCCTTTCTTTTTTTTTTTTTTTTAAAGTCATTTTTATTTTTTTTTTTATTTTTTATTTATGCATGTGTGTGTGTGTGTGTGTGTGTGTGTGGCCAGCTCAGCTCAGCCCACCAGGGGGCGGGGGCTGGCTGGCATGTGGTGCTGGAGGATTGAACCGTGGTCCCTGTGCTTTGCTAAGCTTGTTTTAAATAGGTGCTTTAGACCACTGAGCCATCTCACCAGCCCCCATGATCTCCTTTCTAAGGCTGAATAATCTAGTGTGTGTGTGTGTGTGTGTGTGTGTGTGTGTGGTGTGTGTGTGTGTGGTTAGTTAGCTTAGCTATTGTGAATAGTGCTGCAATGAACATGGGAAGGCAGATATCTTTAGAAAATGGTAGTTTTCAACCTAGAGACTCTTTTTTTAAGGCTTTCATTTCCTGTTTGTTATCAGTGCTATAGGAAAACAGGACAGGAGTCTGTATATTTTTCTAAAAGCTCATAAACTCTGTCATTTAGATATCCAATTTTCAGAATACGTTTAACATTAGCTATCCCATCTGCTATTCTTAAATCTTGAGAGTGTCCCAGCAGAATTATATTGCTGTTATCTTCTAACAGACTGAAATAGTCTGTAGTGTTCATGTATTTTTTGAATACATGAATTAGTTTTCCCTTAAATCCTTTGAGCACACCATTTTAAATAAAATCCATGAATTTGGGCACTACTTTACATTTGGCTGATAAACTCCAGCTTGCCAAATAACTTCCTCTAGAACATCATTGGTGCCAGCTGAAGTTTATCAAAGGAACTTTTCCCTTGAACATGACATCAGATTCTGCTACAGTTTTCTTACATTTAGGTTTTGGTGTACCTTGGTCAACAAGCAAACTGGTCTCGAGGAACTGAGGGAACTCCTAAAATTGTGTATAATAATTTTTTTCATATTTATTTTGGTGGGGAGGAAATAACTTGTATCCAGAAAAAAACTAAACCCCAACCACCAAGGTGTGGTGGCCCATGCCTGTAATCTGAGCACTCTGGGAGGCCAAGACCGGAGGATTGTAAATTGAAGTCCATCCTGGGTAATTTAGCAACTTAGCAAGACCATGTCTAAAAATTTAAAAAATGGGCCAGAGATCCACTCAATGCAAAGGCTTTGAGTTCAATCCCTAGTAACCCCACTTCCACAAAACCCCTGAGTTTATCAGCACTGGGGAGGCTGAAAACAGGAGGATCACAAAGAGGATCTACCTCTTTGTATTGCTGATATGAAACAAAGTTAGAGAGGGTGTTCAATGACAGAATTTTATTTTTATTTTTTTTTATTTTAATTTTATTGAGAAACAAATATGAATGAGACAGTTTCAAAGCCGATTAATAGGAGTGTTTCGATAATCAATACATTGTACATTGTTATATTCTTAGTGGTTATCCATAGTAGAAGAAGCAGACAGGATATCCTGTCCAAACACTATTAGTACACCTTTTTCTGCTCATTGAATTAAGTGAAAGTAGCTGTATATCTATCCTATTTTGTATATATAAATACAAAATCTTTCCTTTGTATCCCCTTTTTTTGTTTAGTCCTGTCAGAGGTGGGTATTCTATTGGCATCTAAATATTATTGATGTTTGATTTTAGCAAAACAATCCAACACTGTCTAGCAGTGTATAATATTAGTGGGTTATCCTCAGAAGTTATTGACTTGAGCCTTTTACAGCAATATGGCTTTACTTTATATATCTTGTTTTTATACTTTTCTGCTGGATGGTTAAGACCAAGATAAAGCAAGACCTATATAGCAAGAAATGTAACTTTTGTATCTGATAAGGTCAGTTAGGTACCTTCAGGATTTATCCTGTAGCCTTGTACCGCACTTTGTAGATCCTTTGTCAGTGTCAGCCATGAGGATGAATCACGGCCACTGCTTGACCAATTTGCTCTCTGTGAAAGCCTGAGAGAATGTTTTTTCTCTCCATGTGACTTTCCTCAGGCACACTATACATCATTGATCACATTCCTCTGTGACTCCATAATCTCCTTGATCAAAAAATTTGGAGTACAACTGAGTTACATGATGTTAGAGTACAGGTTCTCCTATGTCCCGAGTCTTCTCTGACCTTGAAAGGCTAGGGCCAAAATGTTGGCTGACCTTGCAGCCCTTCCTTTTCTCCAATTTTGATCTGCTAACATAGGTTGTTAACCCTCCAGGAGAGAAGCTTATTATAACCTGCAATATATGCAGTTCGGTTTACCCTGTCTGTCTAAATATCAAACATCTTTGGCATATCATGGAACAGGTATTTTCCATCAAATATTGATATATTGATCTTTAAATCCTTACAGAATATGAAGGAAAAATAATTTTTTAAAAAAAACTAGAAATAAGCATTTACATATTTTTACAAAGAAATTTAGAAATCTAACCATATACAGAATTGTAACAGGACAGACCTGTGACATTTTTTTTTCTTATTGTGTCTTTTTTTTTCCATTTATTAATTAAAGAAAAAAAAAACGTTTTACTTGAGAGACAGTATAGCAATAATTGGTATGTCATGACAAGAAGTACATATTTAGAAGACCAGGATGGCAGGCACTCCAAGCGTGACCCCTCTGTTACACATCGCCATCCTCAGTGCAGCTGCCTGGCTCACAGGCACCAGCATATACAGTTAGTCAGGGTGAGAATCCCACCAGCCAGCCACTAGTCTCAAAATCAATGACAGAATTGAGTA